CCGCCCCCATCCACAGTGCTTTACCCATTGCAGACATTCAGCAAATATTTGTTAAATTTTAAATATACCTGGCTAATCAGAAATTAATCTCACTTATCACAGTAGGGTTCCCTGAACCCTAGCAGCACATTCACATTTGGTGAGTGATGTGACCAGAGAGCATAGGAAGGTACCTTTTCACCTTAAACTGCAGCAATCATATTGTTTATTGTGTGTTTTCAAGGAAACTCTCCATGGTGTAGTGGGGTAAGAGCATGAGCTATAAAGTTATACTACCTGGTTTTGAAACCTGCTACAAGTCACAAGACAGACCTTGGGTATGTAACCTATCTCTCTGTGAATCAGTATTCTCATCTGCAAAGTGAGAGTAATGGTCTAAAATGTTATTTCATAGTTGTGGTCACGAAGATTTACTGAGTTAATAGCACTGGTACATTGCTATTTTTGAAGAGCACTGGTACATTGCAAGTGCCCAATAAGAATTAGTTCTTATTTTACGCTCTGCTAAGTTTTATATGAATGTAACTGGGAGCAGGGAGTAGCTCGGCCATAGCAGGGAGATGCAAAGGCTAACAAGAAGAGAGAGGGCAGGAACATATCCAGGGATGTGATGGTAATCCCCTTCTAGGAAACATGCTTCTTGAGGCAGGAAGATATTCCTGTCATGAGGTGTGAGGCTAAGGTGCTGTATACCTGGTGGACTCTCCCCCCACCACCAATTCAGCAGAGTAAGGGATCAAAGTACCTCTCTTGGTGGTGAAGTTGCCTACCTCTTGCAGTCTTTTTTTTTTTTATATCAAAAGTAGTTTACTAGTTAAACATTGTTTATTATAATATAGCAATATAGACCATGGGTTAAGAATGTGGAGGCAAAAAAAGATCTAATCATGGTTTTGACCTTTATTATCTGATTGATCTTGGGCAGGATCCTTAATTTCTCTATGCTTCTATTTTTTTTTTTTAACATCTTTATTGGAGCATGATTGCTTTACAATGTTGTGTTAGTTTCTGTTGCATAACAAAGTGAATAAGCTATACATATACATATATCCCCATATCCCCTCCCTCTTGCATCTCCCTCCCACCCTCCCTATCCCACCCCTCTAGGTGGTCACAAAGCACCCAGCTGATCTCCCTGTGCTATGCAGCTGCTTCCCACTAGCTATTCTACATTTGGTAGTGTATATGTGTCAATGCTACTCTCTCACTTCATCCCAGCTTACCCTTCCCCCTCCCTGTGTCCTCAAGTCCATTTTCTACGTCTGCGTCTTTATTCCTGTCCTGCCCCTAGGTTCATCAGAACATTTTTTTTTAAGATATATATGTGTTAGCATACGGTATTTGTTTTTCTCTTTCTGACTTCACTCAGTATGACAGTCTCTAGGTCCATCCACCTCACTACAAATAACTCAATTTCGTTTCTTTTTATGGCTGAGTAATATTCCATTGTATATATGTGCCACATCTTCTTTATCGATTCATCTGTTGATGGACACTTAGGTTGCTTCCATGTCCTGGCTATTATAAGTAGAGCTGCAATGAACATTGTGGTACATGACTATTTTGAATTATGGTTTTCTCAGGGTATGTGCCCAGTAGTGGGATTGCTGGGTCATATGGTAGTTCTATTTTTCGTTTTTTAAGGAACCTCCATACTGTTCTCCATAGTGGTTGTATCAACTTACATTCCCACCAACAGTGCAAGAGGGTTCCCTTTTCTCCATACCCTCTCCAGCATTTATTGTTTGTAGATTTTTTAATGATGGCCATTCGTACAGTCTTTTTTTTTTTTTTTTTAAAGATGTTGGGGGTAGGAGTTTATTAATTAATTTTTGCTGTGTTGGGTCTTCGTTTCTGTGTGAGGGCTTTCTCTAGTTGTGGCAAGCGGGGGCCACTCTTCATCGCGGTGCGCGGGCCTCTCTCTGTCGTGGCCTCTCTTGTTGCGGAGCACAGGCTCCAGACGCGCAGGCTCAGTAGTTGTGGTGCACGGGCCTAGTTGCTCCGCGGCATGTGGGATCCTCCCAGACCAGGGCTCGAACCCGTGTCCCCTGCATTAGCAGGCAGATTCTCAACCACTGCGCCACCAGGGAAGTCCCTTGCAGTCTTTTTTTAAAAGCATGGTCAAGTTACAGGAAAAATTCTATCACAGAAAAGTATTTTAAGTCAAATGAGTCATTTCTCTTATTAAGAGTATTTTTGAGCATCTTGGCATTTTAAACTATACTATCAGATTGATTTTTCTTTGATGTATATACATTTTTTACAGGCATAGTAATGATGTTGAGTAGTCTTAACAGAGGATTTAAATATCAGTGATGTTTTTTAAAAAAACGCTTTTTAAATGGATATATATATATATTCTTTTAATGGACTTCAGGACTTTTACTTTTTTGGAAAGCAAAGATATGGGCATTTAACTAGGTATAATGTAATTCTGTTAGGCAGGGAGGATATTTTTTCCTTCTAGTAAAACATATTGAGGCTAATAATGATTGAAGACACATCATCAAAGGAAAACATTGACTCCTGAGGAAAAGTGATCAATCAGGCATTGGAAGAGATGATTTATAAAGGTAATTATGGCACTGGAATAAGCTTTTGGGATAAGCATACTTTGATCCATGTCAGTCATTCTTACTTCACATATGTCTTTGAGAGCCACCTTAGTGCAAAAAAGATGAGGGTCAAAGTAACAAGAAGGTTTATAGCTTTCCAGTGGAAGACAAAAATACAACAATAATCCTCCCTCCTCCTCACCATTGTCAAATTCCTTCCTGTTTGAGGATCTCAGAATCATTTAGTTGGCTACAATGATCTGCTGACTTTATCAGTATATTGTAACATGAAACCTTGTAAACTGAAACAACCTGCTTTAAATAAAAGTATTATGTGGCTAGTTTCCAACTATTTTAATCACAGTACAGCTGTAAACATTAAAAGATTGACATTTATATTGAAAAAAACACCCCTGAAATGTAATTTTAACTTTTTATCTCTATTAAACTATTCTATATCTGTGTTCTTACTGTAAGTCACCTCAATGACAGTGTTTAAGATAATCAGAATGTACATTATCCATACTTTTTCTTCTAGAGATTTTAATTTCCAACAGGAAACCAAAGTGAAATGAGTGCAAAACTAAAAGACTAGAATTCTCAATAGTTTTTCCACTGATTAGTATCTCATTTTCTGCCTACAAATCGGTTTATGGACACAATTTTGAAAGTTGCTAGGAGGACACAATCTGACAGTTAATATCAACATCTTTTGATAGTGTTTGTAAATGCTTGGCATTCTTCTTATTAGTAATACAATGTTTCTGCATTCTTATTAGTAACATGTTTGTCATAGAATATTGTGGAGTTAACATTCTGAGAAGATCAAACAATATTCAAATTTTTGTTATATGCTTGATGAAAAATTAAAGAACACATTGCTTAGTGTTACCCATAATTTTTGAGAGAGGATCTATGCCTTAAATTAATTATCAACTTCCATATATCAGAAGTCAGGTTATTTGGGTACACAGAAGTTTTTTTTTTTTTAAACCACAGCAATTGTGGTAAATTGGCTCCCAGGAGACTTCATTTACTCTTGTGTTGTCATCAGATGAATATGTATTAGGCCTCAACTTTGTATGTAAGGCTGATTTGCAGTTTAGATTGTATGAAATGGCTAAATTTCTCAGTTATTTGGCTTGAAAAAATATAATTCAAATATTGTAGGAATGAGACTCCACAGTGAATCCCCACAGTAAGGAGAATGGTCCGCTTATTTCTGAATGGAAATCCCCAATTGTCACACCACATCAATGATCTGGCATATCTGACTTCCATTGAGCTGGACTTTTAAAGGTCAGGTCTCTGGACGAAGAATTTTGGCTTAGCGGGTTATGCAACAAAGATGCCCAAATCCAGAGCACTGTTTTAATGTTGTCAGAAATAGGTTCTCTTGAAATAGCAGAGGGGAAGAAAAAAATGGAAGATTTTAAGCGCAAAGTCTTTTGCCTAAGCACATTTTCTAACGTTTCTGCCCGTATCTCATTAAAAAGCTGGATAAAGAAACAGGGATGGGGATAGAACCACATCATCTACTTTCATAGAAGGTTCAGACTGGAGTCCCGCAGGCACAATTTATTTGGCCTACATTTAAAAAATCTGGAAATGCCATATTAGAAAAAAATCCAGATTTTTGGCTTCTTTTAAGAAACGGAACCTTTGGCCACAGTGGGCCTGTATTCATACGGGGTGTGTGGGGGGAAAGCAGGCTGGATTTGAGAATCGGCTGCTTTCTGTACACATGCTCAATGATTTCCCATTCCCTGCCACCCCGAACGTCTTAACACCACGTTCACTTTGCCTGCCTCACCCCGCAGGCGTTGAGATTCCTGCAGTTTATGAAATGGATGCAAACGGGTCTTTTTTCTTTTTTTTTTTTTAAATGGGCAAATCTCTTTGTTAAAGGAGGAAGGGGGAACCAATGGCTGGTTTTGCTTCCAAAGTCCTAAATCTGCCGTTTTTCAACCATCTGACCCTAACCTACTTTTCCCGGATGGCCCAAAGTATGAAACTAAGTATCAAAGGATGGCCCTTGTAGTCACAGTTCTATCACAAGCCAGCCATGTGACCTTGGGCGAGTCCGTTAAGCTCTCTTAGCCAAAGGTGATGAAAAGTCTCTAAACGGGCTTAATACCTGCTCTGAATACTTCACAGGGCTATTGCACAGCACACACGAGATTCTGAAAGTACTCCTAAATCATTTATAAACCGCAAAACGCTCCCTAGCACAAGCGTCTGTTAGAGTGCGACACCACGGCTTTAGAAGTTGGGTTCCTGGAATCCGCTCCAGTTCCGCGCTGCTCCCACCTCCCACGCTCGGGGTGGGCGGGCGGAAGAAGATTCTCAGGGGAGAAGCTCTGGAGAACCAGCTTAGAAATGCAGCGAGAAGTCCGTTAGCGGGGGTAAAGTTGTTGGCATTTTTAAGCCCCCAGAGTAACATACCAACTCCTGGCCGAGATGACAGACACCGCGCAGAGCCAGCGCGAAAACCGGTCCCCGGGCCACCTCCCTGCTCGAAGCCAGGACCCCAGGAGCCAGGCCTGAACCCTCCCGGCCAGGACCCCAGACCCGGGATTCCGGACCTCGTTCTCGTCCCCAACCCCCCCATCTCCTCCCCATCCCCCCTCCACGTGACAACAGCCGGAACCGTCACTTCCGGCGGCGCAGGCCACGCGCCTGCGCGGGGCGCCTGGCCTCAGTGAACGGTCGGCAGGGGCGCCGCGCCGCCAACGGCCTCGAGTGGCGGGCGGCGCGGATTCGACTGGGGCGGCAGCGGTGCCGCGGGATGCTGTCCAGAGAGTGTGCGGCCTGAGCGGGCCAGCCCACTCCGCGGAGGGGCCGGTCGCCCCGCCCCCTTCGCCATCTCCCTCCATTGCGCCCTCCTCCGGGGCTCGCAGTCCGTCCTGGTGCGGCTGCTAGGGCGCCCGGGACACTGGCGGAGGCGGCCGCGTCGCCCTCGCACTCGGGCCCGCCCCCTCGCGCCCCGCCCTGTCCCCGCCCTCCTCGCCGCCCTCTGCGGGAGCCCGGCAGCTGCAGCGGAGCCGCGGAGCGGGCGGCGGGGCCGGGGCTGTGCGCTCGGCGCGCGCGGAATGTGAGGCTCGGCAGGCCGTAGCGCTCTCGGACGCTCGGACGAGCGAGGGGCGGCGACCCCTCGCGGACGCCCGGCCGCGTGCCGGACCGGGCACCTCACCCTCTCGCTCGCCGTTGCGCGCGCCCCGCGCCCTCCAGCGCGCCGGCGGGACCATGAAGAAGTTCTCTCGAATGCCCAAGTCGGAGGGCGGCGGCGGCGGCGGTGGAGCGGCGGGTGGCGGGGCCGGCGGGGCCGGGGCCGGCTCTGGTAGCTCGTCCATGGGGGTCCGGGTGTTTGCGGTCGGCCGTTACCAGGTCACCCTGGAGGAGTCACTGGCCGAAGGTACGGGCGCCCGGGGAGGCTCGGGCCGGCAGGTGAGGGAGGGCTGGGGTGTGGCGGTAGCTTCTCCAGGTCCTCGCCCGCTTGTCTCCTCGCCTTCCCGGCTCACTCTAACCCCTTCTGCCTCCTCTGCTGGGCCAGCGGGGGCTTTTAGAGTAGCTCGGGCTCTCGCTCGTAAGTCGGCTTTTCTCGCCGCCGGCAACTCTGACCTGTGCACAGTTCTTTCAGTACGAGTTTGTCATTTTCAGTGCTTCTTGACGCAAAGAAATAAATAGGAACCGTCTTAGCGAGTGCTGCGGTGTCATGATTAGACCAGTGACTCATTAAAGGGTCAGATCGAGCAGGATTGGGGCTCTTACCCGCTGTGGCTCAGGGGGGTGTCAAGCGTTGGCCTCACCACTCGCGACGCAGGGCACAGGACTCTGCAGCCCCGAGTGTTCAGCCTGGGTTTGCTGCTGCTCAGTCATCAGTTGAAAAACAATTTATTTCTGTGCGTGCGCGTGATGGAGGTGATACTTTGCCCCAAATTCAGTGAGTAGGTTGCTTTGGGGGAGCAGGTAAACTTGAAGTCCACTTATCTTTGTTTTTTAGAATCTTCTCTATCATGCAGGGTGCTAGTCACACCCTTTCGGTGTGTCTTGTTTGATAAGACTTTAAAAGACGATATGAAAGCAGGTTAACTTTCACTTGAGCAGTTTTGTGTTCGATCCTTCATTATCTTTATCAGACTATGTCAACAGTTGAGAGTCTGCTTACAAAAAAGTTTGCTCCATTGAAAAAAAAATCCTACGCTTTTAGTTTTGTATTTCTTGTATAATTGGCTTGTAAGAAATACTCTTGTTTCATTGCATACTTCACTGACTTTTGAGTTTTTAACTGCAGAATGATATTACAAAAATACTTAAAAATTTCTCAAGAAATAATTTGTTGATAATTTGCCCTTCTAAGTTTCAAGATTAAGAGAGAAGAAATCAAAGACAGTAGTTTTGGTTCTCTGAGGGTCAGTTGATGTGGTTTGGAGACAGTAGACTGAGATTCCACTTGTGTTTTTTGAAATGCCATAAACAATAGCAAATTAGTACAAAAGAAAAACCTGAAGATTTTTGTCTATACAATATTCTAAAGAGAAAGAAATCTTGAATTATTCAGGATGGATGTCATTGTTTTGCAAGCCATTGCCCCCAATAATGAGCCTAGCTGAACCTTAGGTGGGAGGAGGATCTTTAGCTTGTCAAATAATGAATGTATGTATGGTAATTGGTGTTGATAGACGGATTTACCATGCTGTAAAAGTTCCTAGTTCTTTATTATACGTTAACTTCAAGTGTTTGAGTCGTAGATTAAGCTATAGGTTTTAAGAAGACATGGCTGTTAACTCACATGCTGTACTTCTGTTTTTGAATTGTTGTAATAACTGCAGGGTGGCTTGAATAATATTACTCACTTCATTTCACTAAATCCCAGATGGGTCTTTTACTTAATAAGAAATCATTGACATTTCATCAAGTTAGACTTTGGTAGCTTCTACCGCTGCTCCATGCATGTCCTGTCATTACCCTGAGCAAACCATTTTCAATAAAAAAAGAAGTAATTTTGGAAGATGCAAATACAAATGAATTTCAAAAGGGGAGTGCTCAAGCACACACACACACAAATTAAAAAAATGTTTCAGTCACTAATGTCACTGTTAGAGTGTTCCACTTACTTTTGCCATAAATTTGTCATTTCTCTTGGAAAAATCCGTAATCAAGTGCTAGGAGGAAGCAAGTGTTGAACAAACTCTTTTGGAAGATGGCGCTTCCCCAACCCAACACCCCAGAGGGAAGGCTGAGGCCTAGGCTTTGTTCCTTGTGTATTTCTTCTATTTCAGCACGCACACAACCGAAATTATCTATATTCGGTTTACTTTTTGATCCTGACAACATATTGTTATTTCATATGCTTAATATCATCTCTTCTTTCCAAATAAGTAATGCTACAATTTAGATCAGATGTTTAAGCACAAACGTGGTTTACATTCAAGAATGATCATTCAGTAATTTACAGATACATTTGCCCAATTGTAAGATTAGGGCAAGTGCTTGTGAAAAGGCGTTACTGTAGAGTTTAGAGTACCTGAATTGGGGAGAGGTGTACCATTGAGTGGGAAAAGGGTAGAAGCAAAGACAGATCAAAAAACAAACTTAGTTGATTTTACATTTTTGCTTTGTGTCAGTGTTGTTTAAATAGAGGCAAGACCCTGTAGATGCTGTGTCCTGAGGTGTTTTTGCCATGCTACTGCAAATACAGGCAGCTTGCTCAGAATGACCTCTGCAGTGTCTTTGAGTCTTCAATAAACCTGGTGTGAGTGCTGCCACCCCCCCTCTTCAAATACATACTTGATTCTCATTATTCACAGTAGTCATATTCTATAAAGTCGCTGTGACCAGTGATTTAGCAAATACTGAATCATTGTTCCTAGGGGAAATAGTGTCAGGGTACCGCAAGCCTGTGTTTACAGCATTTTTGTCAACCAGTCACAGTATAACCTTGTTTTATGTGTGTTTCTGTTTAAAGACACCTTGTTTAATATATATTGTTGACTTGTTAACATTGAACTAATGGTCAACAGTACTGTAACTCATGCCTAAATGAAGCTTAGTGAATATACAGATTTTCTCTGTAAGGGACATCATAGCCTTCTTGCACTAAGAAACGCTAGATGGACAACACTTTGGCTCTATGCTTGGGGGCTATTTTAAACAACAAAATCACCAATAAAAAACACAAAAATGAGAAAAACATGACACTACATAGACCTTGAAAAGGGCCCTTGTTTATAGCAGTGAGAGCTGAAACAAGGCAGAGCAATACCTTGTTGATTCCAGCTGGCTTACTCAAAATTTTCACCACTATGCGCATGTCTGCAAATAACTATGAAAGTGCCATTGTATTGATATTGGGATATTTTATTGATTTCGGGGATATAAATAAATTTTAGCAAGTAAGCAACTTCACAAATATGAACTCTCCAAATAATGAGGATCATCTGTATATGTATGTATGTATAGGTATGTGTATGTATGTATATATTTACATGCACATACATGTTTTATATATTATATATATTTAAAAAACCCACATTCTCAGGAGTATACTTACGTTGTATGTTATAACTAAACTATTGGTGTAGTTTCCTTTCTGAAATATACACTTTGTATCATAATCTCTTTCTAGTTAAGTATATAGATGTTTGAAAATGCTGACAACTTGCACCTTTTTAGTTCTTGCTCAAAGTTGAGGGGATATCACAATGGGCCATTTTTATGGTTTTCCTCGAAAACAATTTAGTTTCAGGAGTGGAATTTCAGCATCGGGCTGTAGAAATGAGGTAGAGCTATACGTGAATTTTAGCTTGAAACAGTGTCAAATTGTCAAGCACATATAATTCAATGTAACCGTCCAAGTTTTTACTAAAACGTAGGACTGCTTTTGGATCATATACCTCTGTATACCTTCAGTGCTAGTCAGAAGAATTTAATATTGATTGATAATGGGAAGAGTGGGTTGTCAAGTAGGAGAGTTTTTCCCCTAAGTGTCTTTGGTGAAAAGTGGACTTATGGGGAGCGTAGAGAGCAGGACACCATCCAAAATTTGTTAACATAGTCTAATCATGAGGTTATGGGACTGGATAGGAGTGGTATTTAAAAAAATTTTTTTTTTTTTGCGGTACGCGGACCTCTCACCGCTGTGGCCTCTCCCGCTGCGAAGCACAGGCTCCGGAAGCGCAGGCTCAGCGGCCATGGCGCACGGGCCCAGCCGCTCCGCGGCACGTGGGATCCTCCCGGACCGGGGCACGAACCCGCGTCCCCTGCATCGGCAGGTAGACTCTCAACCACTGCGCCGCCAGGGAAGCCCAGGAGTGGTATTTTGAATATGATTGGATGCATAGGACTCTCTGACATGGGCATGGGGGTTGTTGGCACTGTCAGTAATTGGAGGCCAGGAACTTACTAGAGTTCTGTAAAAGTAGCTCAGTAGCTCTCAGAGTTAACTGCTTAGAGTAGGGTGAATTTGGGCTAGGTGTCAATTCTTATTGTTAATTTTATGGGAAGGTAGTAAGGTACATCTGACCTTGCAGGATAAATCAGTAAGAATCCTTAAGCATGGTATCTCATTTGCAGGAATTATCTGTGGCTACCCAGTAACATGGAAGTAAAAGTTCTTGAGAGATAACAAAGCAGAGTGGAGGATTTAGTAAAGATATCAGCAACTGTTACTATTCCCTAACTATTAAATGCCTTTTTTTTTTTAAATGCCAGGCTCTGTACTAGGTGCTATTTATACAGCAGAGAACAAAGCAGGTATTTCTCTGGCATTATGGAACTTACAGTCTAGTGTAGAAGATAAATATTAAACAGAATTAATCAGGTTAATGTAGTTAACAATTTTGATAATTGTCATGAGAAGAAAGCATAGGGTTTCATGAGAGAATAACTGATTCAATTTGTATTGGAGGATGAAGGAAGGCTTGTTTTTTTTTTGACATTTTAGCAGAACTCTGAAGTATGAGGAGAGTTAAGTAAAGGCAGAGGTATGAAGGTGGCGTGGTATGGAGTATGTCATGAAGAGAGAAATTCCTATGTGGGGAAGAGTTTCAGGAAGTGAATTATGTCCAGAGCTATGGACTATCATGAATGAACCACATGGAAGAAGGACCCAAGGTGGTTTTGGAGAGGACCAGGATCCAGGTCTTTGTATGCCATGTTGGGGATTTTAGATTTTGTCTGAAAATGCAATGGGAAGCTACTGAAGGATTTAAATTAGGGCCGTGACATGCTTTGATTTGTATTTTCGTAAGATCATGGTGTTTGCTCTATAGAGACTGTTTAAGAGGTATACAAATTAGGTTAGTTAAGATGATGGCAGTGGGGATGGAGCCTAATGTTACTAATGCTTGAATGGGAAGACCTGGTTGTGGATTGGATGGAGGTGGGTGTTGTAGGAAGTGTGAAGAATGACTT